AAAAAAAAAAGAAAATCGGTCCACCTAGTCGACTATCATGTATTGTCGATTTGTTTATTTTTCTGTTTTCCTCTCAATTCCACGTTTTTCATTCTTGTGTTAGAGGTGTGTAGATTCAGGTTCTTCGTATGTTCCTAGAGAACTCACTCGTCCGGGGGGGAGGCTTGTCGTGCCCCAGCCAAGGCGATGCCCGCGTAAGCACGCCGTCACTCCCATCTGTCGCGACAAGCCTGGCGCCAAAAACAGGTGCATATGGACGAATCTAATATCCATTTTCAAATATATATATAATTGTTGGCAGGCTTCAATAAATTTTATTCAGCCAACAAATAATAATAATATGAGTTCATTTAATAAAAATAGATGTTCATTTAATAAAAATATGTTCATCATTTAATAATATTATGTAACTTACAGTTACACAATTTATTTTGACACATCCCACTTTGGATGGTACACATTTTTGTAACGCCTTTTTACGTCTTGAAATACAAAATATTTTTGTTTTTGTATTGATACTATATATTTTTTTTTGTATTATATAAATACATATTTCACAACTAGTTAAAAATAACTATAAACATCTCTATTTTCTATTGCGGTAATACAATAAAAAAAAACATTTTTTCTGAATATTACAAAGATACATAAATATTTTAAAAAATCAAATCCTAGAGACGTGAGTCGAAGAAGTTTAACGTATGATTTGTTGTGATGAAAATTCTGACTTTAGAAAATCTACGAATGTTATATATAAATAAATATTTAATAATATTTAAATTCTCTTTTTTTTTTCATTTATTAAGTTATAATTTTTATTTTATTTTATATTTTTAATCACTTACATCACTTTTCGTGCAAATGCACACGGTAAAACTAGTTTATATTTATTGGAACTCTGCTTCTGACATTAGTTCCCAGACTTAGGACAACTAATTTTTTTAGCATTTTCAAGTAAGTTTCTTTGAATTTTGGATCTAACAATTCAAGTACGTTTCTTAAAGAGTAACAATCCAAGAGTAGCATTTTTCAAGTAAGTTTCGCGGCCACCCACCGAGCCTACCTCGGAGCGCCTAAGCCCTCTTAGTCGACTTTTCCAGCCGATTCATGCAAATCAGAGGCGATTGGGTGGCACCTAAAATACGCATACAACTTAATATGGCTAGCCTTCCTTGAGATGCGACGAAAGACTTTCGAATTAAATCCGGTAAAAAGATGCCAGCCTTTTGAGTTACTCAAAAGCATTTTTCTCCATAGAACTCCCACCTCTTGTCGTGCCTTGGTCTCTCTGCAACTGCTATCATAACTTCCGTAGACTCATCCTCCGTTTACAGTCACGGGGGAAGACCTTAACAAACTTCCGCAGAAGCGCATCGAAATCGGCAAGCACATCTTTGGCGAGCTGGCTCCCCGTGTGGCGTCGGTGTTGCTGTATCATCATTCTGAGAGTCAACACGTCATCCTCCTCCTCGACCGGGGCGAGATCCACCAGCTCCACATTGCACCTCGACCGGAAAGTCGAGTCAGCATCGAGTACATACGCTATGCCCCCGCTCATGCCCACGCCAAAATTCCTTCCGATCCGGCCCAAGACTACGACAATCCCACCGGTCATGTACGCACAACCATAGTCCCCCACGCCTTCGACCACCGCCTGAGCTCCGGAGTTCCCAACGGCAAACCTCTCACCCGCCATTCCATTGAAATAAGCCTCCCCGCTCGTGGCTCCATGGAGCGCCACATTGCAAATGACTATATTACCCTTGGGGTCAAACCCGTTCTCCCTAGGCGGGTACACGACAATCTTTCCACCCGACAACCCTTTGCCGACATAATCATTACTCTCGCCTTCAAGCTCGAGGGTGATGCCGGGGCAAAGGAAGGAGCCGAAGCTTGGGCCCGCGCTACCATTGAGCTTCACGTGGATTGTATCATTGGGCAGCCCGTGAAGATGGTACCTTTTGCTCACCTCGTGGGTCAGCATGGTCCCGACTGCCCGATTCATGTCGCAGATTGGGGACTGAATGTACACGGGAACACTCTTCTCTAAGGCGGGCTTTGCTAGAGCTATGAGTTTGTTGTCGAGAGCATTGTCCAGCAATTGGCACTCATTTAAAGTTACCTCATCGGGTGTAACGCCACAATCGAGCATCTGTTTGTATAGTTCCAAGGACTTCTCCACAAAACCGTGATTGGCAAAACCGGAGATGATTGACGTCCAAGATATTACGTCTCGACTTCCCATCTCCTTGAAAATCTGATATCCAGCCTCGACGTTGCCACACCTAGTGTACATAGAGACCAAGGCATTGGAAATGCATAGATCGGAGTCCAGGCCCGATTTTATCAACCGGGCATGTATTTGCTCGCCTTTCCCGATGGCCCCGATACTAGCGGTCCCACTCAGGAGGCTCGTAAACGTGAAAGCATCAACCTTGACATCAGAATTCTTCTCGATTTGATTAAAAAGTTCAAAAGCTCCATCCAAATCCAAATTTCTAGCATAACCATAAACCAACGTGTTATACGAGACCAAATCCTTCTTGAACAATAATTCAAATGCTTTTCGCGCCTCTTCCATTCTATGGCATTTAGTGTACATGCTGATAAGAGAGCTAACGACAGAATTTACGGAAGAAAGACCCAATTTCACTGCATGGCAGTAAATTTGTTCACCGAGTTTCAGATTAAAAAGATTCCTGCACGCTTTTAACAGGCTACTGAAAGTAATATGATCCGGCTTGACTTCACCATCGGTTATCATTCTACAGTACAACTCAATAGCTACATAGTCATGGCCTCCACTCTGAACATAACCCGTGATGATTACATTCCATGACATGTCGCTATGGTCCTGCTCCTGCATCCGGTTGAACAATAATTCAAATGCTTTTCGCGCCTCTTCCATTCTATGGCATTTAGTGTACATGTTGATAAGAGAGCTAACGACAGAATTTACGGAAGAAAGACCCAATTTCACTACATGGCAGTAAATTTGTTCACCGAGTTTCAGATTAAAAAGATTCCTGCACACTTTTAACAGGCTACTGAAAGTAATATGATCCGGCTTGACTTCACCATCGGTTATCATTCTACAGTACAGCTCAATAGCTTCATAGTCATGGCCTCCACTCTGAACATAACCCGTGATGATTACATTCCACGACATGACGCTATGGTCCTGCATTCGGTCGAAACTTTTCCTTGCCTCGTCCATAGACCCATTTACAGCACATTTGGAGTACATTTCCACTAAACCACGGCCCACACAGGCATCCCATAAAGAACCGTTCTTGATGACCCAAGTGTGCAGCTGACGCCCAACGGCTAACAGCCCCAACTCCAAACAAGCCGATAAGCAACTGCTTAAAGTGAACCCGTCGGGCACGAAACCCGCATCAATCATATCGAGAAACAAGAGGATCGAGTCTCTAGGAGAACCCATCTGCTTAAACCTCGTCATCATCAGAGTCCAAGAAATAGGATTTCTCACCGGCATTTTATCAAACACCTTCCGGGCAGAATCTAAATCACCAAAGCCCTTTGCGAACAAATCAATCAATGCGCACCCCATGCACACATCGACTCCAAAATGCCCCGTCTTCATCACAAGCCCAAAAATCACGAGCCCGACGGCTGCGAATTTGATGCAGAATAATAATATTATTATTATTATTA